CCTATGTCGTGATGCCTGATAAATAACGGGGGGGAGGGGGTGGATCGCGCAGAAACAGACAGTGCAGAAGACACTGATATACCAGCAGACAGACAGACAAGCAGACAGACAGACAAGCAGACAGACACACAGACAGACAAACAAGCGGACAGACAAGCAGACAGACAGACATTTACATATTCACTGATAGTGCAAGAAGTTACAGTTACATTAACAAGCAAACAGGGTGACCAAAAACCACATGTGAAATAAAAGACAAACAAAACAGACACACACAAAAAAAATAGAAAACAATTACTGAAGAACAGTCTTGAAGACAAAACAAGACAAACTGGCTCAAAACAAACAGAAAAACATCTAGAACCAGACTGTCCATCATAAACCTATAAACTTCACTGTCTCACAAAGGAAGACTGTGCCTCTTGACATAATACTAAATAATATTAAAGCACTGCTGTAAGCTCAAAAGGTTCTTTTGATTTATCAAATAAAATTTCATTTTAAACAAAACATTTGAACAAGTTCCAGGAGAAAACCTACATTGTACGTTAGTGTACACAAGAAAACCAATGATAACAAGCAGGACTTTTGCATCTGGTAAGTCCGTTGCCACAGCAACAGTTACCATAGCAATTCAGCTTTTCTGTGCTAGCCATCACATGGTATAAATGGAGTTGGATTGTGTAACAGTCCCCAAAAAGTTCGGACATTGTTCTTAACTGTTTTCATTGTTCTTGGCTTTTGGTTTTGATTTCATCAAAATAAATGTTTAGTTAGCTACCTAAATACAAGCAAAATTCTATTTTTCTAACTTGATTGAAGCTTTTCTTAATTCTATTCTATAATTCTAATTGCCCTATTTCACTATGACGTCACATCAAAACAATCTAGTGTTTAAAYGCGAAGGATCATGGTCGTCGGAGGGGGTCAAATCAACGTAAATTCACCGAAAATTGTTCTAAAACCTGTATCAATCCACGAAGAGAAGTAGAATAGCCAGCAAACACTCAGAATGCTTTTTAGTACATATTAACACATATTATAATATATATTATCTGAAAACCAGGCCATTTTAGATTAAACTGTTTCGCTAGGAGCAAATTTTGTTGAATTTTCTATTGAATTTGGCAATTCTATCCCCCACATAAACAAGCAGTGACGTCATAGTGAAATAGGGCAATTCTGTGATTTGTTCAAAAGACAGTTCATTTTCACGGGAATCCAAGAACAATGTCCAAACTTTTTTACGTAACACAACCCAATCCAACACTATTTATACCTCATGATGGCTACTATCGAAAAGGTGAATTTGATGATGACTGAAACCTTAATTTGAACATTTTATTAAATTAACTAATTAAGTAAAAGCCTAAATTTTAAAATTATGTTTTCAGCTGAATAAACAAATATCTCAGTCATAATCACAGCTTAAAGACAAAATTGCAGCAAAAATTGAAAATAATTTAAACGAATTGAAAAGAATAATCGTATTACCTTTAAGAGTAAACATCAAAATTGTCTTCTTCATTCACAGAATCAAAATATGGGCCCTGCCAGGACCAATTTGAATAACACTTGTTTGGAATTAGTGCAAAGTTTTGTAGGTCTACTGTCTACTGAGGTCTACAGAACTTACTAATTTGTGTACATTTGTGCAGTTTCTTGCAAAGTTTCTATATACAGCCCGGGGGGGTGGGGGGGGGGGTACTCCACCAGAATTTGGGTAGGGGTGTTCCGCTGGGATTCTGAAAGGGGTACCCTGTTTATGACAAAAGATATAATTTATTGCACTGAGTTCCTGTTTCAATTATCATGTCATCTCGCGTATCGTTTTTTTTTTTAAACCATAATAACCAGTTTCTGTCAATAAGAAAGTAGAAACCCTGAATATGACAGGAAACTGAGGAAGAACTTGAGACTTGAGTGAAATTGCATACCCTGTTTATGACAAGAAGCTCGAGAAACCATACCCTGTTCAGCGGATCATCCCTGTATAGTCCATATATGGGAGTACCCCCCCCCCCCCGGGATATACAGTAATTTTGGTATGCACTATAATATTCACTATTTCGTACAAAATAGCAGCAAAATATTTCCCTGCTGGCAGAGGCTTCTTTTCCGTCTTTGTTTTCAGGGAGAGAGAGAAAAAGAAGCCTTGCTAATTAATGTTGGCTTCAAGGTTTAAAGTTTCTGCTTTGATATTTAGTTGAATTTGTGATTTCAGATGAGGCAAATATTTCTTTATCTGAAGATGGAGAGACAGCAATCACGTAAGTCTTCATCAAAAGCGTTTTTCATGGTTACTAAAAATAGATACCACAAAACCTTGTGGGACCAATATGAAGGCAGTAAATATTTACAGTGCGACTACTCCAACCAAAGCCACCTTGACAAATTTTCTATAAATTAGCCAATCAAAAGTAGGAATCTGAACAATAGAATTGCTACAAATTGGACAAATATCCACAGGTTTACACGGCTTAGAAGACTGCCAGCACCTTTGTTGTCGAATATAAACTTGCTGTTGCATAGCAACGTAGTCAGCCTAACAGATCTAACAGTGTCAGCCTGATAATATCTTTGTCTGGAAGAAACAAACTGTAATCAATAAAGACTGTGTTTTATATGGTCTCTAATTTGCTTTCCTGTCGTATTTGAAGTCGTACATTACTATTYTTCTATATCTTTGGTGACACAAATCACTAATTTGCCAAGAAAATATATTACAAGCTCTTCTTCATCATTTAGTTTTACCAACCGGAACAACAGAAGAATATTTAAATTCAAAATTTGCCGCTAATCTATTGCCTAAATACTCAAACACTATTGGATAATTTGTGGAAAATTTGTCGAGGTGGCTTTGGTTGGAGTAGTCGCAATTTAAGGCTTCACTTAGGGACTGTTCATTAATTATGCCTCAAGGTGGGCTGGAGGAAAAAATCGAAAAAAACCTTGGAAAAATTCACAACCTCCCCCTGCAGTTGCATCAAAAAAAGCAGTGTATGTGCAGACCCAATTGATATTTTCATTGTTCAATGTGACATCATGCTATTTTAGTTTTGTCTTTTGATTGGCTAGAACTAGAGCCCTGTATATCTCTGGGTATACAGTCAATGTCATTAACGTTGTCCACCGAAAAAAGACATTTACACATTTACACATTTAGACTAAAAGAAATATCACATGTTTCCTCGAACGTTCTGGCATAAAACAAAATGCTGAAACACCATTCTCCATCTTAAATCCTCACCAAATGGTCGGCGCATTATGGATTTTCGATACACAAGTTGAATTTTACGTTTAAAGTTCAGGCTGACGCACACGAGGCAAAGAATACATAATGAAACATGTGATATTTCTTTTAGTCTAAATGTGTAAAACGTGCACGTGTAAATGTATTTTTTTGGTGAACAACGTTAATGGCATTGGCTATATTATATATACCATGTATAATTTCTGTACAGCAATGTCATTTAAAAACTCTATTAATAGGTAGCTATATCATGGTGACACAGTGAGTGTGCCATATTTTTGTCACATGCATATAAAAGTTCTATGTACAGTACAGCCCAGGAACGTGTACATTTATCATGATTTTTGCACGAGCAGATCACGATCTGATTTCACCGAGTGCTCGTGATCTGCTTGCAATTYATTCACACCTTTCTTTATTGTTGTTCGCGATTTGATCGCGATTTGATTGTGATGAGTGAGTGCTCTCCTGCAATACACGAGCAAATCCCTACTAAAGTTTTCTCTTCCACAAAAATCTGTTCCACAAAGAATCTATTTAGTTCTATCTTTGTGTTCGAATCTTTAGCCGGTTAATTTTTTATATCTGTACTTTAAATATTTGAAGAGGAGTTAATATAAAACACTTGACATAATGCTTTATGAAAAATAAATAATATGGAACATGTATTTTTTCGTAGGTTGACGCCAGCTCAAAAACATGCAATCAGGCTGATACGATTACTCAAACTGAATGTAGCAATAAGAAAATTTAAGGCAAGTTTTTTAAGAAACACAACAGGGCATTAAATTAACGCTCTCAAACTCCCAAACTGCGGGTGTACCTCAACAGGTTTTTTATTTTTATTTTTAGGAAGCAAGAAAGCCTTATGACGTGAAGGACGTAATAGAACAGTATTCGACAGGACATGTAGAGATGTTGTCAAGAATGAAAAGCTTACAGCAGAGGTATGTGTATTCAAAAAAAATCTGTCCTTGACATAAAAAATGGTAAAATACAATTTTTCTTAGTTTTCTTCAAACATAAGAAGCAGGGAACATACTTTACCTGCACAAGTTAGTTTGTGTTTTGTTAGCTTTAATTAAATTGAAGAACGTAGAAACCACTTTCCACAATTTTATTTCAACATGCAGCCTCTTATTTTTCCTTTTTTCTTTAAATTGAAGAAC